GAAAGATAGAGATAGAAATTACTCAGTTAGATTACTAACATGAGGATGCGATGTGTGGAGAGACAGTGCAAAAATTATATTTATACAGGGTGTCCCAGAATTACCGTATCGCACGTTAATGGGAGATTTGGAGACGATTTTTTCTCAGCGAAAATGTCGAGAAAGGTCATCATCTTTTTAATGTTCCCAATTTTTGAAATCATGTATCTTTGTAACTAATAAGCCTTAAATTAAAATTCTATTAAAGTAAACTTTACCTGAATTAACTAAAAATGTAGTTTTGTTAATAATTTATTTTTACAAGGCTTAGTTTTTACAAATAGCTTGCTTTTATTTTCAGCTGCTTATAATTCGAAAATTATTGGTGTCTCGACACTTTTGCTGAGGAATAATCGTTACCAAATTTCCTCAGGAATCTCCCATTTTTATTTTCATAAGCTTAGTTTCAAAAAGCCTTTATTTTCAGCTGCTTATAATTCGAAAATTATTGGTGTCTCGACACTTTCGCTGAGAAAAAATCGTCTCCAATGATACTAGGAATCTATTAAAACTTTTCCGCCAGTTCTGAAACATGCTGTATATATATTTTCTCTCTTTCTCAAGGATTTTTTTTCAGCCTCAATACTCTGGACCCGAAAGAAAGTCAAGGTTTTATCGTCGTATAAAATAGGATATCGCAGAGAAGTATTTTTCCACTTCGAAACCCTCTCGCAAATTATATGAATGACCACAATCGAGCGAATTGATAGAAGGGGTGAAAGAAGGACAGAGCGATTGCGTCTAATTAAGTAAAGGGAGAACTCGGTAACTTCTAAGTGTTAAACTAATCTTGAATTTCCATGTGGCGATAAATCAGAGGTAAAGGCTCTCGTTACGCTTTTGACCCGGAAAATTGAGAATCTTGGGAAGATTGGGACTTATTTAACTCGAGAATGAAAGATCGTATTTAGTTTGGCGCAAATGTAATATCCAATTTTATTTCCAATATGATTATTCCGACATACTTTAAAGCGAACAAAGGCTTTTCCCGAAAGATTATAATTTTCTCATATTGCTGTCATTATTTTCCTGATTGCTTTTTGCTCGCTTAATACTAATTTATTAATTTTATAAAATTATTATATTTACTAATATTATTATTTATATACACTGCGAAAAAATGTGTAAATTTGATTAAATTACTATTTTGTTAATCGAACATATATTAGTCTTTAAGCCAATATAAGTTTTGTTAAATTAATATATTTAATTTAAATATTTTTATATATTTCAATTAATAAAACAATATTTAGTCGAAAGGTTTAATCAAGTTCTAGTTTTGAGACTTTCGCGGCCATTGGAATCATCAATGCAAAAGGTTTCCGGATAGATGCCGCGTGGTTTAACAGCGTAATGCCGACGTTTCGCAAACGTTGCAGTTTGCATCTTCAGGGCTGAGAGCTCCGATATTGAGCTTTCTTGGGTTGTGGTCCTTATATATATTATGGGAGGTTTTTCATCTAATTCCGTAATGACGTATTGACCGAATTGCTTAATCAAATTTTTTTTCACTACTTATTATGAAATTAATTGTAATAGAAAATTATTTGTCGTTATATCAATTACTTTCTATTTATTCTACACATCATCTGTTTATCGTTCGAGATATAGAAACTGTTTGTACACCTTTCAAGCTCTTCGTACACAAAATTTTCTCGCAAAATTCAAATCGGCGCGTTCCGCACACACAATGTAGAGTGTCGCCGTAAGAACTCGATTTAGAAACTGTTTTCCCTGCTGTGGCCTCGCGTTCGCAATTTCATCGACGTCTCGACGAAAAATAAAGCGCCGAGCATCGACATTGATGTCAATGCGCGTTAGAGGTGGACGTCGACGTCGTTTGACGTGTACGTCAACGGGAGATAGAGCGGCCTTTAACCATATAGCCATAGTTTCCGTATGCGTGTGTGTATCAAAATGAAGAGCCGGTCCTAATGAATAGCGCGTCGCGTGAGAAGGATGTTGACACGTGGACGGCGTAAAAGCGGCTTCTCACAAGCGCTTCATCATATTATCGTACTGTCTCCCCGACCCTTCGCTTTAACCCCCGAATTTAATGAGCGAAAAATCTCCAATCTCTTCATCTCTCCGCTCGAGAGAGAGAAATAATATGCACTTATTTTTTATATATATTTATATTTTTATATATATTATATTTAATTATATTTATATATTATATATTTAATTATATTTATATATATTTATATTATTTATATTATATTTATATTATATATTATAATTATTGAAATGGCGATACGCGTGAAATGTTAGACATCTCTCCAGTCGAGAGAGAGAGAGAAATATAATATGCAGTATTTTTATACATTAATATTTTTGATATTATTGTAGAAGTTTATTTTATTATTCTGAAATCATATTTATTATACAGAAAAGAGGGAGGAACGAAAAATGACGGCACGCGCGAGAAGTTAGGTACTGTTAAAATAGAGGGATCCATTAATTTAAATTTTTAGAAAGAGAAGCTGGGGAATTTAACTTCGCATTTCACGCTCGTCTTTCTTTTTATACCTCGCGCGAGACCTCCTTTTAAACGTCATAAATCCGCTCCGTCGAGAATATGCAAAGCGACACGACGTAGAAATCAATTCTTGTAATATAAAAGCGAACAGGGAGGAGGAGGAAAAAAAGAAACTCCCTTTCGCTCTATAACATCGACGTAATATTATTATTATCGCGAGATTGGCCCGGAAGTGTCGAGATAGTAACCTTAACAGCACACAAATCCCGAAGACGTTCAGAGAACATCCTGAGGATGTTCGAATGTCCTCTGGATATCCTCTGAATATCTTTTCGAATGTTGCGCTATTTGCCCTCATGTATCCCAAGTAGCAAACTGACGTCATTAGACATCATTTTGACGTTTAATGACATTATTTTAAGATTTGGAAATGATTTTTCTCGGCAAAAATGTCGGAGGTCGTAATTTTTTACATGTTTCCAATTTCCCTAACAGCACACATATCCCGAAGACGTTCAGAGAACATCCTGAGGATGTCTTAATGTCCTCTGGATATCCTCTGAATATCCTTCTGGATATGTTGTGCTATTAGGGTTTTGTCATGTATCCCAAGTAGCAAACTGACGTTATTAGACATCATTTTGACGTTTAATGACATTATTTTAAGACGTTCAGAGAACATCCTGAGGATGTCCTAATGTCCTCTGGATATCCTCTGAATATCCTTCTGGATATGTTGTGCTATTAGGGTTTTGTCATGTATCCCAAGTAGCAAACTGACGTTATTAGACATCATTTTGACGTTTAATGACATTATTTTAAGACGTTCAGAGAACATCCTGAGGATGTCCTAATGTCCTCTGGATATCCTCTGAATATCTTTCTGAATATGTTGTGCTATTAGGGATAGATCGCTTCCCTAACAGCACGCATATCCCGAAGACGTTCAGAGAACATCCTGAGGATGTCTTAATGTCCTCTGGATATCCTCTGAATATCCTTTCGAATGTTGTGCTATTAGGGAAGAGACAGAGATCGCGGTCGCGTGATCGCTGAGATTGTTCCGCCGCGAAATAATAAGGGATTCCCCGTATACGCACACACATACTCGGTCTTTCAAATACTTGAACAAACGCGCGCGTCCTCCCGCTCAAACGATATTAGCTCCCGGGAGGATATATATGTACCTACCCCTACCTGCCTCTGCTGCGAGAGTCGTCGTCGTCGGGCGCCTTCGAGCGGAATAATGCGAAATCGAAACCCGTGTCAGGACGGCGACGTGTCACGCGCGAGACTTCGAGGGAGGATGTAACGTATAATATGTATATGTAACCGGGTGACTTGTGTGTGCGACGACGGACTCGCACGATATTTCCCGGAGGGATGGGAATCGCGTTTTCGCTTATATAAGCGATCGAATTTTTTTCATCGACAATTTTAACCCGTCTGTCGATGAACGGATGGTACCCGAGGGTTTCAATGTTAAAATGTATCGGAACTTCTCTCTTACCGCCTTCCCCTGGAGAACCTGATGTCCATCAACTGCTTACAATAAAATTGTCGGAGAAAATCTGCGTTTGATACTCGAGTATACTCGTGCATTGATGAAAGGGTGAAAAATTATAAGGGGTGAAATATGCTTTCTGAAGCGAAATGTTTGTCGTTGTCGATTTAATTTATCTATGATCGCGAGAGAGAAGCTGACAGCTTTTTAAGAAATGATCTTGTATTTTGTACACTGAAAAAGAATTGTTAATTTGACTTAACCTTTCAACTAAATATTATTTTGTTAATTGAACATATAAAAATATTTCAATTAAATATAACATATTAAATCTCACAGAATAATGTATATATTTGACTTTAATACTAATATATGTTCAATTAACAAAATAGTAATTTAATTGAAAAATTTAGCCAAGTTAACAATATTTTTTTTTCAATATATTTAAAAATCTAAAATAACCGGAAATAATGTTCGATGTCCATTAGCTGGCTATAAAAAAATTGTCAGAATATCGAAAACCTGTTATTGATTAAAGGTACTCATACATTGATGACAAGGTAAAAAATTATAAGGATTAAAATATATTTTCCCTGCTTTTCGAGGATCTTTTGATGTCTCGAAGCAAAATGTTTGACATCGTCGATCTAATTTATTTATAATCGCGATCGGAGAGAGAAGTTGATAGCTTTTTAAGAAATTATTGTATATTTTGTATTTAAAAAATTAAAATTATTTTGTATTTTATACTTAAAAACTTAAAATTATTTTATATTTTGCATTTCAAAACCTTAATTAAAATAACAAAGAAAAAATGTTCAATGTATAAAATTATAAGGGTTGAAAGATGCTTTCCATGTTTTTCGAGGATTCTTTGATCCATAAAGTAAAATGTTTGATGTCGTCAATCTAGTTTATCTACAATCACGATCAGAGAGAGAGAGAGAAGTGAATAGCTATTTAAGAAATTATACTTACACTCAGATCCTGTAGATTCACGCAGGTCGTGTAATTGCTCCATATTTGATTGGACTCGGGATGTCGGAACCACGTGCCATTTAATTCGCAATACTTGTGCGCCATTACTGCAACAGAGGAAAATTGCGGAAATTTATCACGAGAGCTTCATATATATCTAACGACATCGAAAGATTGGAGAATTAATCGATTCGATTAATTATATCGAACATTACATCATTAATACAAGTCGATTGTGCGCGCGGATATAATAAAATATTATATAGTGGGATTTATGATCGTGTTCTTGACGCTATTTAAATTATTTTTATTTTTACCTATTTATTTATTTATTTTACTTTGTTATGAGGTTTTAGATTGCGAAAGACACATTAGTTTTGTCTCGATTTTCTTAACGCGTAGTGACTAAGATTCTTGCTAACTGTTAACATCTATTTATTTCTTGCTTACTTCTGTCAATTCTGTCGGTGGTATGCAGTGAATTTGATTTACTGTATTAATTTATTATGCATTTACGTTTGGTATGTAACATATTTTTGTATATGAATTTATAATTATTTGTTGCGATGAAATGTATTAAAATTATAATTATTTTTATGTAACTTTTTATAGATTTACTTGTGAAAAGGGCCGCAATGACAGCCGAAACGTTGTATTTTAACTAATTATTTGTAATAAATATTTGGTCGACTTTTACCATTGAGGAAAGATTTTTATTAATTATTACTGGCGAACCTTAAGGATTATCATCTATCTATAATAAAATACTATCGTAGAAAAAAAAAGAAAGAGAAAAAGAAGAGAAAGAACGCTCCGAAAGAGAACGAGGTGCCTTAGAGGGAGAAATTCACGTCAGATTTATATCGCTCCGATGTAATGTATTCGCTTTGATGTTTAACAGAGACGAAACGTCGAGGAAAGATTTCCCTCGCGACGCCGACTGCATAATCATCCCCGCAAAGTTAAGCTCCGTTTCTTGTGTCGAAGCTCGTACAAAACTTCCGTCCGTTCCGGAAACAACAAGGTAATTTAAAATTTCCCGATGAAAGATACTTGCGAGATGCAAAAAAACTGCGCCTCCGGCGTCGCCTGAAGAATCGAGACTCAACACCCACCATCCACCATCTTTCTTCCCTCCCCCTCTTTCCACCCCCTCTATTAGGGGGATGGAGGATATTTATTCCTCCTCGCGCGGATCCGCAGTTTAATAGTTTGCAAATAAAACTACAAATGCAAATTGGACTTTAGAGCCCTCCTTCTGCGCGAAACTCGCCCTGCTTGATTAAACTAATCTTTGGAAAAAATAAACTCGCGCGTCTCTCCTTTTTTAGTGCCTCGCGCTCTTTTCTCCCTCTTAATTAGCGGATGAGATCCGATGTAAATATCCGGGGATGCTGGGAGAGCAACTATACCAGCAGGTTAATCTGTGCAATTATGTTTCCGCTTATCGTGAAACGCGATCTTCCGACTTCTTTTTTTTTTTTTTATTTCAGTTTCGCGGGATGACGTCATCGACTAATCGATTCGAGGAAGACGCAGTTTAATCTAATTGATTCGAATAGAATACAGGAATTCGAGAAGCAAAAATAAAATTCAAGAAAGAAGACGGATCTGGAAATACCATGCGTATCCGGTGTCGCATTTTAATTGCAAAAAAATGTCCTTATTCTCGAATAGAAGTAAAAAAAAGTAACATTTTCTTGAGCGCGCCAATAATTTTATCAGGTCACCTCGTTATGTCTGTTTAAAGTTCACGGGAAAATATTAATTAAATTTTAGTTACCCCTATATTAAACATGTGTTTAATCATGTTAAAATTTTAGCTATGAAAAAGCTAATATTTTAAGATAACTAAAATTCAGGTTGTAATATAAGGACGCCTGAAATTTAGCTATGATACGCGGAGCGAATTTTCTCTTATTGTTTGAATTTATCCTGAAAATCATGGGATAATATTATAGCACAATACGGTATTGAAAGAATTTTAAATGAGTTTGTTTCTCTGATTAATATTTACCACAATAAAAAATATCAACAATAAGAATTTGAAAAAAAAAAATTATATAAAATATTAAAATAATAATATTAAAAATAATAAAAACAATATTAAAAAAATATCATAAAATATGTGTATACATAAATTTAATCGAACATGTGCTATATCTTATCGTGGTACATACCTATATATTAATATTTTTTCTAAGAGTTTAACAAGGCTCTATAATATAAATATAAATTTAAAGTGTCAAACAGATTTGGCTCTTATTGCCTGTTTGACACTTTAAATTTATATTAATATTTTTTTTATTAATATATTTTGGTAGAAATATTAATTAGAGAGACTCTTACAAAAGTCTTCCAATCCCATATTATCCCACGATTACTATAATTTTCAGGGTTCTCATAGAAAAATTTTGATTGCTACTTACTTTTCTGCACGCACGTGGGTAATGTTTATCAATGTGTTGTTCTCTCTCTCTCTCTCTCACACCTCGTCAGAATATGTAAAGCGCTTCAAAGTCGCAGTACAAACTAACGACCGTGTCGGCAAGCGTGGCTGGGCGATTAAACGCCATTCATCGTAAAGACAGTTTCTGAGGGGAAAGGCGCATTACGAAGACGCGACCGCGAGAAACGACAGGGTTGCACGCAAGAGAGAAAGAGAGAGAGAGAGAGAGAGAGGAGAGATGCGTGGTCTCGGAGTTTATATTACCAGGCGCGCGTAATTCGTCGTAAATGGCACACGGAGGACGAAATAACGTTTCTCTAGCACATACGTATTTACGAATACATGAGAACGACGGTACACATGCACATATGTGGGTGAATAATGCGGCGCAACTTGTTACAACAACCCCGTAACAGCGGGAATATTAGAATACGCGCGCTCGCGAGACTCTCGCGAGTAATTTCGCCCAGAGTTTTCCGTCCAAACACATCCCTTCCTACGCGTGTTCTCGAAATGGCAACGGTTCTAGGGTGTAGCGCTCCTTACTTAGGCGAGGAAATCAATTTTCAACCCTCGCGGAATACGTCCAAACTACCTGAACCGCGTCGTCGCGAGAACAATTTCGAGCCATTAAAGCGCGCTCGAGGGTCATTGGAAGTTTCAGGTTCCCCAGGTTGACATTTCGGTCGCCGCCATCGCGAAAATATCACCGCGAAGACGTTCTCCCTCTCGGAAGGGAACGTGTGTTATATCGATTCGCAGCGACCTATTAACCGGTCGCACCACAACGCTGGTCTTATTAGAGGGACAAAGAAAAAAAAAACAGCTTGCGAAGGTCGACGAGTTAAAATTTTAAAAATGTCAGGCAGACATATAAGAATAAGACGCTACTAAATATTCGCGGAGCATTTTTAAGTCATCGTTCCAAGTACAACGTGTTTTATTAATTATTCTAAAGGGGACGATTTAAAACTCATTCGCTAATTATCCGTACATTGGATGATGGAATGAAATTTTTGCGCGGTAAATATCTTGGTTTCTGGTTCTGGTTCGGGATTTTAGAGCTATTAGAGATATGTAATGTCGGTAATTTCAGCGCAAACGTTAGACCCTAATGTAGGAATTGTGCTGATAACACCTGTGTAATTTTCAGATGTTTATCAAGCATTTCTCGGATATTTTATTAAATTGCCGAGTGCAAATCGCAAGTTGTAATACAAAAACAAAATAAAAGTATATTCGTAATCGACTGTAAAATTGCGAATAATTATCAGAATCGCACGCAAGTTTCCAACTTGGAAACTCAAAATGACAATTGTTGGATCCGATGACAAATTCTCGACTTCATCGAATGATTCATTGCTATCGACGAAAAGAGATCACGGATCGATAGCGAATAATTGTCGAGTTTGGTTGAGCGAGAAAAAAAAATGCAGGGTATGTATGCGTTCATTTTGAAAGAAAGAACGCAAAAGAATGCGAGGAGAGAAAATTACGCGTGGCGCGATCATTCGCTCACTCGTGCGGTCGCTCATTATTTCGTGATGAGGGTCGATCGATCGGCAGACTCGCCTACAAACCCTCCGGTAGGATGTTCGCCGAGCGTAAGGTATCGATGTCCGCCCTTAATTCGTCCATCACCCCTTTTCTTGCATCTTCCCTTCCGACAGGCGCCGTCATTACATCACATTTATCTTCCTCCTAGTCTCCGAATGGAGAACTGGATGCTCCACCCAGGACTTTAAAAAGAAGTATATATGTATGTGTGTGTATATATATATATATATATATATATATATATATATATATATCCGAGAGAGATATATATATATATATATATATCCGGTAATTTGGAGACACTGTATATATATATATATATATATATATATATATATATAGTGTGCCATTTTATTTTCACGAATAAATCATCCCCTTGAAAGACCCTTTGTGTATGTGTGTGTGTAGGGCCCTAGTTCCTGTATATCATTCTCCTTTATGTATATATATATATATATATACATAAAGGAGAATGATATACAGGAACTAGGGCCCTACACACACACATACACAAGGAGTCTTTCAGGGGGATGATTTATTCGTGAAATTAAAATGGCAAAGCGCTCGTTAAAGGAAGAATGGCCGACGTTTAATTCCCGAATAATAGATGCGTCGCGTCCGCGCGAGAATCTCGGGCAGAGGAGAGAAAAAAAGAAGCGTTCTCGATGCGCGAAGAAGCACGTTGGAGCATAATGCGGAGATAACGAAACGCCATTAAGGGCCGTTGTTTTCTGAAATGCGATCGCCTGAAACGCGATCTAGCTGGAAGATAATCGTTTTTATCAGGGATCCTGTATGTATATATGGGTATCTACCTACGCACGTATGCATATAGTTATTTTGCGTCCTCGAAATCAGTATCTTATACTTTCGACGACATTTTGAACATTTTAATTAACGAGATTAAATAAGATATTTGTACGGCTTTCTCTTGTCAGAAACCAGAGAGTAATGAATTAACTCTGTTGGATTAATAAACGAAACCACGATGAGTGTGTGCAATCTCATCAAGATTTTCTCCAAGATTTTCTTTTTATCGTAAAATAATAAAGGAAAGAGATATCCCTCTGATTTCCTTCTCAGATTCCGCAGAAATATCCT